CTCTAATTTTCCCCTCATACTCCTGGATTTTTTCATCTTTTTCTCAGCTTCTTCTTTTTCCATAATTTTATCTTCTAGTTCACCTATTCCCTCCTCTTCCTCTTCAATCCGAGCTGTAGTCGCCTCCATTTTATTTTGCAGCTCATTAATAGCATTTTTTAGCTCCTCCTGGCTGTACCTTAGTCCCCTGATCTCTGTAGCAATAGATTCTCTGCTGTCCTCTATACTGTTTTCAAGCCCAGTGATTAATTTTATGACTATTATTCTAAATTCACTTTCTGTTATATTGTTTAAATCGTTTTTGATCAGTTCGTTAGCTGTCGCTATTTCTTAGAGTTTCTTTTGAGGGGAATTCTTCCGTTTCATCATTTTGGATAGCCCCTGGAGTGGTGTGGAACTGCAGGGCACTTCCCCTGTGCTGTCTTCAATAACTTGCGTTGGTGGGTGGGGCCACAGTCAGATCTAATGTCTGCCCCCAGCCCACCGCTGGGGCCACAGTCAGACTGGTGTGTACCTTCTCTTCCCCTCTCCTAGGGGCGGGATTCACTGTGGGGTGGGTTGGGGTGGCCCGTGTGGGCTACTTGTACACTGCCAGGCTTGTGGTGCTGGGGATCTTGTGTATTAGCTGGGGTGGATCGGCAAGGTGTACAGGGGCGGGAAGGGCAGGCTCACCTCGCTTTTCCTTTGGTGATCTGCTTCGGGAGGGGCCCTGCCACACCAGGAGGGAGTCAGACCTGCCGCTGGAGGGATGGATCCGCAGAAGCACAGCACTGGGTGTTTGCGTGGTGCAAGCAAGTTCCCTGACAGGAACTGGTTCCCTTTGGGATTTTGGCTAGGGGATGGGCAAGAGAGATGGTGCTGGCGAGCGCCTTTGTTCCCTGCCAAGCTGAGCTCTGTCCTCCGGGGTTCAACAACTCTCCCTCCCGTTGTCCTCCAGCCCTCCCACTCTCTGAGCAGAGCTGTTAACATATAACCTTCCAGATGTTAAGTCCCGCTTGCTGTCCGAACACAGTCCTTCCGGCCCCTCCGCTTTTGCAAGCCAGACTCGGGGGCTCTGCTTGGCCGGCGGGCTGCCCCTCCGCCCCGGCTCCCTCCTGCCAGTCCATGTAGCGTGCACTGCCTCTCCGCCCTTCCTACCCTCTTCCGTGGGCCTCTCGTCTGCACTTGGCTCCGGAGAATCCGTTCTGCTAGTTTTCTGGCAGTTTTCTGGGTTATTTAGGCAGGTGTGGGTGGAATCTAAGTGATCAGCAGGACGCGGTGAGCCCAGCGTCCTCCTACGCCACCATCTTCCTCAAGTCTTTAGAACTAACTTCCATTTATAGGAAATATGGGAAATAGAATAACAAATAAAGTAATACCTTAAGGTCAAATAGCAGTCAGACAAATCTAGCAGGTGGAACATTTTTGGTAACAACCACCCAGTCCAACGAGTCAATAGAGAGAGAAAAAAAGGTGAGGGGGGAGGCATACTCTAGATACGGAGATACAATAACCAAACAGAACACACAAACCTTGTTTAGATCCTAATTAGAACAAATCAACTATAAAAAGGTATTTTTAAGCAGTTGGTGAAATTTGAATATGGAGTGTATATTAGATGATACTGAGGAATTATTATTTTTAAAAGTAAAATAAAGTAAAAGATACAGCTGTGTCTCCACTGAAGCTGTAATTTTGATAGCAGAGACCATACACAAAGTAGGTATTCAGTATGTGTTATTGATTCTGATGTTGAATCTATCTTGCTTGGTATTTCAAATTTACGCAAAAGGTCAAAAAGTACTGGGGAATCATTTGTACCTTTGCAGAATTACAGAATTTTTGAGTTATAAATGATAAGAGGAATTATCTAGTCAAAATAAACTTATGAAGAAAAGGACACAAAGCCAGATTGTGGTAGAGCTGGTCTCGCATGCAGGGTCCTATGCCAAGAGGCTCATGTTATGCATCTCTTCAGTGCAGCCTACAGGAGGCTCCGACTGCTTCCAAACCTTTTGTAGCTCACAGCTCCACTCCTCCTCCTCCCCCCACTTGACTTCATATTCTTTCTTGCTCTTCCTCCCAACTCCATCTCTAGACATTTTGATTTATATTCACTTGACAAGTTTCGCATTCCTTGGGAAAACTGCCGCACGTAACGCTAAACAGAGGAGGAACAATAATGAGTGGAGGAAAAACATTTTAAAATAAAAGCAAAATTAACAGTAACAACAACAGCTGCTGTTCCAAGCTTTTTCCACATTTAAGTTCCTACTTCATCCTCCTGGCTTTCAGGGATACTTTTTTCCCCTAAGTTCTGTCAATGGACACATAATAGCTTTCTATCAATTATACAAGTCTCAAAGAAAAAAGGTTTCATTGGTATATTAAAAATCAATGCTGCTAAAAATAAACAAAATTCAAAATTTTTTTAAAAATAAAAAATCAATGCTGCTGAAATGCCTTTTCTCTTTCCCTTTCTTTTTTCCATCCTTCATCTTTTCTTTTCAAAAAATCACAGCTAATGTGATGGCCAGAAATCAAAATATTATTAGTTACTATAAGCCTTTTAGTAATACGTTGCTTTTTAAATTATGTACATATATTACTTTAAAAAATATTGTTTTAGAAAACTGAATTATAATTATGCTTTACTGTGTTTAGCAATATATGGAAAAACTGAGAACGCAGCCAGTACCCTCTGGATTTATAAGATAAGCCAAGAAACCCTAGCATAGATCACTTACTTTAGGAATAAGGTATGTCAGTATTATCAAATACACCAAAGAAGGATAATTATACAAATAAAGACAGATAGATATGTGGGATTTAGTAAGTTTAAGCCAAGCAGAGGAACATATATTTCTGGGACCTATTACATAGAAATAACAGTTACCTTCTGCAAAATTCCTCTATTATGTTATATACTTCTATTATACACACATATCACTAACCTTCATGACAAACCTTTGGAGGAGTATTACCGCCCGTATTTCACAAAGATGAAGAGGTAAGACCAGAATTTAAATACGAGGCTACCTGATTCCAAGTTCATATTCTTTCAACTATAGAGTAAAAAAATAGACATTCAATTTAAATTTAGGAGGGGAAAGAAGCTTGACTTTTTACTCCTACTCCATCTCATAGCAGCTCACTGTTACCAAGTTCCATGATCAAGGCTGACATTTAGCTGCTATGCTCTGCCGTGGCATAAGGGCTGAAAGCTGTTAAGATTAGCTGGGGATCTGTTCTGTTTGACTCATGGTGTCCGTGCCATGTGGATCACTAAATATGTTGAATATCCTACCCGTCCATGACACAACCTGAGTATTCCAACAAATACTTACTCAGACATTTGAAATCATCCCAAACCACCTATGACATGTTCCATACCTACAGGTATCTCAGGTCTACATCCATGCAAAATTTGGCTGGTCTTCTCTCTAGGTAAGAACATGCTAGGATTCCCAACTTTTAGAGTAGAAGCCTAACATTTGCCATTTACATTGACCAAAGCATGGGGCACATCTTTAAGTCAGTAGTACAAAATTACTATACTTAGGATTTCACCAGTGAGTCCAACCTCAAAATGACATCCTGTCTTTCTTGTTAAAAATCAGGCTCATAGCATTCAATATTTGGGAAATTAGTCTGACAGGATATTACCCACACCTTCCCCAGTTCTTACTATGAAATGTGATCACCAGAAAAGAATATATCTAGATGTTAGCTTATGCCCTTAGATAGAAGTATATACCTAAACTGAGTTACATTCTTGGATTTTATCAAGATTCAATGTAAGAAATGACCATATGGAGAAAAAGAAAGCAATAGTCTAAATGTTTCAAGGACAAATCTAAATGTCAAAATAATAAGAGCAGCATAATTTCTGAGAGCTTCACACTTTGGATTTATTTATAAGTTAGTTATGCCAAAATCAGTTTGTCCAACCAACACACATAAAATGTTATACAAGCTCCCTCAACTGGTTAAGATGTAGCACTACCAAAAAACATGTTCCATTAAGTTGACTGTATCATCTTCTTGAGAAATTTCTGTAACTCCAGCCTGAGATCGAAGAATGGACATGATGTCACGAGATAATTTGTCAAAGCCATTCTGTAAACATATATTTGCTACTTCTTGCCAGTTTTCTAATGAGCAAAATGGATCATTTATCATAAGATGTTCGACTATACCTAAGGAAAAAAATTATAATATTATAATATGTCACCTATTCTTATTTGAAAATCCATATTTAGCAATTCTTCAAAAATAGAAAGGGGTATCATTTCAACTCACTTACTATTAAACCTGATTCCTATAAGTTTAATGTGGAGCACTTCATCCAACTCATGGTAAGTAATCAAGTGTTAGTTTCTTCTGCTTTTTCATGAACCTTTTCATGCCTCACTTCAACCCTCTACCATGTCTCACATTCTCACACCTTTACTCATCTCCTTCTTGGTAAGGCTAGCAGATATTGAAAGTTACAAGGAAGGGAGCTTAGAAAATGAAGAATGAGTGCTCAGCCTTATTCAGAGTCTACAAGGTACCATTAGACACTATCATGTAATTGAGGGCTTACAGGTCTAGTTTTCATGATCCTTCAAATTCTTTTATAAATTCCCTAGTAGTGCTGACCCAAGTGCTTAAAAACCTCTTCGGTAAGCCCTCCATCTTATCTCTGATAGAGAGAGACCTCTTAATGATGGGGCTTCTGTAACAAATATTATTTCTAAGGATATAAAAGAATGAGTTTATTAAATAAAACTAAGGAGATTATTTGCTTTTGAAAATCAATTATAGTGACCCCCTTGGAATATATTTATTTAGGGAACTCATTTCTTATCTATTACCTGTATTACTTATGATACTTAATGAAAGATCTTTTTAAAACATTGTCATCACTATTATTTTATTTCTACCATAACTCTGTCAAATAAAATAATTTAGTTGATATCTATAATTTCAAAATTATCTTCCCAAATATGTTTTAATGTAATCTGCTATTCATTCTTAATCCCCATGTAGTAATTTAAAATCAAATTGTCTGCTCAAGTTCCTATATTAGAGAAAGGAAAGAAAAAATGAGATTTCATTAGTAATTCTTGACCCTACTACAGAGTTATGTTCAGAGTAAATATCATATGTAAATGACACGTACATATATATTTAGTTTAAGATTAAAATATAGAAAGATTATTTCCAAGGGCACCTGGGTAGCTCAGTAGGTTAAGTGTCCAGTGCTTAATTTTGGCTTAGGTCATGATCTCATGGTTTGTGAGTTCAAGCCCCTTGTTGGGCTCTGCACTAAGAGCACAGAGCCTGCTTGGGATTCTCTCTCTCCTCCCCTGCTTACAGTCTCTCTCTCTCAAAATAAATACTTTTTTTAAAAAGATTATGTCTAAATAACACTTAAAATATATAAAAAGTTATTAAATATAAATATTTATTAATAACGTAAAGTTTTTAGAGTAGAGTTAGCTAATATAATTATTAAAATGTTCCCCTAAATCTTCACAAAGATTCTCTCTTCTTTGTAATTCCCTCAAGAAATAAATACTATTGGGGCGCCTGGGTGGCTCAGTTGGTTGGGCGTCCTACTTTGGCTCAGGTCATGATCTTGCAGTTCATGAGTTCCAGCCCCACATCGGGCTCTATGCTGACAGCACAGAGCCTGGAGCCTGTTTCAGATTCTGTGTCTCCCTCTCTCTCTACCCCTTCCCCACTCACACTCTGTCTCTCTCTCTCTCGAAAATAAATAAACATTAGAAAATTTAAAAAAATACTATTGTTAACAGACTATTATTGACATGGTAGTCTTTACATTTATAAACTCCTAAAGTCAATTCCTGCCAAGAAGGAATTCTTAGGAAGAATGAGTTAACTCAAACATAATAATCTTGAACCTTTCCCTAAATAACCCAATACTTTTTCTTCTACAACAACATTTTACTATACTTACCTTTCCCACCTTTACTTATCTCTTGAAGTAGCTTAATGCCAACTTTTTTCATATCTACAGAGAACAGATGAAGTATAGCAAGACCAAAAGATAAAGATGGTGGTTTCCCGTTCCATTCTCTAGTGAGACACTGAATTAATTCAGTGTGAGGACATAACTTGATTAGGTCCATCAGGTCATCTGAAAGCAAAATTCAAAAACTATGTCTCAACATCCTAATATGATACATCACCTACAAACTGGGACCAGCTAATATCTATACCTGCCAATCAACATTTCTTTTTCCAATCCTTCCAAAGCCCTCAGTGAACTCAACACTACTATCTCCAGTCAAGAAGAAAAAAAATCATGCTCAGCATAGCAAAAAATGAAAGAAAACTACTTATAGCAAGGACTACCAGGAAAACAAATTATCAAAGAACTGTGGTAGAATAGAAATAATTAGATTGGCAATCAGGAAATCGATCTAACCACAATTCCATCAGTCCCTTATTCTTTTGGATCCCAGTTTATGCATCTTAAAAGTGCTAGCATTAGGGCTCCTGGGTGGCTCAGTTGGTTAAGTATCGGACTTTAGCTCGGGTCATGATCTCACGGTTTTTGAGCTCGAGCCACACATCGGGCTCTCTGCTGTTAGCTCAGAACCCACTTCAGATCCTGTCCCCCTCTTTCTCTGCCCCTTCCCTGCTCTCTCTCTCTCAAAAATAAATGAACATTAAAAAAAGAAAGTGTTAGCATATCCAATTTCTAAGGTTCCATCTAACAATATTATGTTTGTCTATATCTTGTTCATATTTGGGCCAACTTCTAGTGAGTATAATTTCTTTCTTCCTGTGCCTTGCACAGAAAAAGGGGCTCAGTAATTTTTTTCCTAAAAATATTATTTTAGAAACTCAAAAATGAAGACTTTAAGAAGCCATTAGCCCGTTCAAGTAGCTAGTAGCTGAGCCATATGAAGTTGCCTACATTTGACCATGCTTTACTACAAAAAAGGATATTTCATATGGTTTAATATATTAGATAACTACTGAGTTGATACTACAATTATGATTTACATTAAAAAAATTTTTTTTAATGTTTATTTATTCTTGAGGGAGAGATAGAGTGTGAGTGGGGGAGGGGCAGAGAGCGAGGGGGAGACACAGAATCTGAAGCAGGCTCCAGGCTCCGAGGTGTCAGCACAGAGACCCATGCGGGGCTCGAACTCACAAACCGTGAGATCATGACCTGAGGTGAAGTCGGACGCTTAACCGACTGAGCCACTCAGGCACTCCCATGATTTACATTCTTAAATTTATAAACTTTGTGTTAACTAAAGTTTTTCAAGTAAAAAATTTACTTTCTCAGGGTGCCTGGATGACTCAGTGGGTTAAGCATCTGACTTTGTCTGAGGTCATGATCTCATGGCTCATGGGTGCAAGCCCTGCATGGGGCTCTGTGCTGACAGCTCAGAGCCTGGAGCTTGCTTTGGATTCTGTGTCTCCTTCTCACTCTGCCCCTCCTCCCCAGCCCACACTCTGTCTGTCCCTCTCTCTCTCAAAAATTAACATTAAGCATTAAAAAAAAATTTTTGTTTTTAATATTATTCTTTGGTCACAACAGAGGTAGTATTCAGAATAATTCCTGAAAGCCTTTTAAGAACTACCATAAACATAATTTGCAATTTTTTGACTGATAATATAAGATAATCTAGTGTTTATTAAACACATATTTACTGTACTAGGAACTTACATATATCAAATCACTGCATTTAATATTCAGTATAAGTGAGATATTATTATTCTCACATTAAAAGTGAGGAAACAGGCTTAGAGAAGTTAATTTTCCCAGAATTATACACATGATATAAAGGAGAACGAAGTTCATCTAATCCACCCAAGTCCATGACCTTCCAATCTTTAGCGATGCTCCTCCAAAACAGTAAGTATATGTGTGATGCACTGTATGTATGTACATATACACACACATGCACATACACACATAAATAAAAGAGAGATAAATGATAAAAGAATAAGCAAGGAATAGCAGAATATAATTCTGTATCAATAAAGTCAAACAATTTTTTTTTTAATTTCCCTAGAGAAGAGGTAGAAGAAGTTTATGATTTGGGTCACTCAAACTGGCCTTCACTAAGGTGAAGCTATTTATATAGCATCCCCCAGCCACCAGCATTTCGTAACTCACACATTTTGCTGTTTCATTCAATCAGGCATTCAAATTTCCCTCTCCTTGAATTGATTAATTAACCACTATTTACTTAAGTATGTACAAGATATGGCCTCTGACTAGTTCAAAGGAACACAAATTCAAATCCTATGACCTTTCTCCTCTGCTTACCATGGTTTGGAATCCATTTCGTCATTTCTTAGTTTGACAGGTTATTAATCAATTTTTATCTCATGGATGCTCTTGGGGTTTTTCTCCAAATTTTTATTTACATTTTACTTAGCTAACATACAGTGAAATATTGGTTTCAGGAATAGAATTCAGTGATTCATCATTTGCATACAACACCCAGTGCTCATTCTAACAAGTGCTCTCCCTAGTACCCATCACCCATCTAGCTCATTTCCCACCCCCCCATCACCCTTCAGTTTGTTCTCTATCATGAAGTCTCTCATGGTTTCTCTCCCTCCCATATGTTCATCTGTTTTGTTTCTTAAATTCCACATATGAGTGAAATCATATGGTATTTGTCTTTCTCTGACTGACTTATTTCTTTAGCATAATACATTTTAGCTCTATCCATGTCATTGCAAATGACAAGATTTCATTCTTTTGGATGACTAATATTCCATTGTGTATATATATCACATCTTTATCCATTCATCATCAGTCTGGACATTTGGGCTCTCTCCATAGCTTGGCTATTGTTGACAATGCTACAATAAACACCAGGGTGCATATATCCCTTCAAATTTGTATTTTTTTTATCCTTTGGGTAAATACCTAGCAGTGCAATCGCTAGATCATAGGGTAGTTCTATTTTTAACTTTTTTTTTAAGTTTATTAATTTATTTTGAGAGAGAGACAGTATGTGTGTGAGCAGGGGATGGGCAGGGAGAGAGGGAGAGAGAGAGAATACCATGCAGGTTTTGTGCTGTCAGTGCAGAGCCCAATGCAGGGCTTGAACTCATGAACTGTGAGATCATGACCTGAGCTGAAACCAAGAGTTGACACTTAACCGACTGAGCCAGATGTCCCTATTTTTAACTTTTTGAGAAATCTCCATACTGTTCTCCAAAGTGGCTGCAGCCATTTGCATTCCCACCAACATTGCAAGAGGGTTCCCCTTTCATGGATATTCTGTTTTAATATGATTATAAAGGCCGATATGCCAAGTGTGATAGATGTTTAACTCACGAACATCTAGAGCAGTGGTTCTCAAAATATGGTCTAGGGTTTATAAAGTCAAAACTATGTTCATAAAAATACTAAGCTGTTATTTGCCTTTTTCATTCCCATTCTCTCACAAATATACAGTGGTGTTTTCCAAAGACTATATGACATGTAGTCTTACAAAAGACTGAATACAGGAGCAGATATAGGAAGCCAGCTATCCTATAGTAATCCAGATATTGTAGAGATTTGCAAAAATGTAGAAAATGCAACTCTTTGCATGAAATTCCTTGGTTTTGGGAAGTTTTTTTGTTTTTTAAAGTATATTTATTTATTTTGGAGAGAGAGCACGTGCATGTGTGGGAGGGACAGAGAGAGGGGGAGAGAGAGAAGATCCCAAGCAGGCTCCCCACTGTCAGCACAGAGCTGGATGCGGGGCTCAAGCTCATGAAACCTTGACATGATGACTTGAACTGCAATCAAGAGTCAGACGCTTAGGGGCACCTGGGTGGCTCAGTTGGTTAAGCCTCCGACTTCGGCTCAGGTCATGATCTCGCGGTCCATGAGTTCAAGCCCCGCATCAGGCTCTGTGCTGACGGCTCAGAGCCTGGAGCCTGTTTCAGATTCGGTGTCTCCCTCTCTCTCTGACCCTCCCCCATTCATGCTCTGTCTCTCTCTGTCTCAAAAATAAATAAACGTTAAAAAAAATTAAAAAAAAAAAGTCAGACGCTTAACCGACTGCACCACCCAGGTGCCCCAAGGAAAAGTTATTTCTTATAAAAAATATTTTATTATGATAACATGTGATGGGTTTGTTGTTTTCTTTAAATGAATAAATATTTTAAAATTTTGTTTTAATTTCTAATAGGATAAATATCAACAGATATAACCTATATAAATATAAGCTCTTTGGGATGTTCAGTGCTTTTTTAAAAGTGTAAAAGAGGGGTGCATGGGTGGCTCCGTTGCTTAAACATCCAACTTCAGTTCAGGTCATGATCTCACAGTTTGTGAGTTCAAACCCCTCACCAGGCTTTCTGCTCTCAGTGCCAGAGCCCACTTCGAATCCTCTTGTCTCCCTTTTGCTGTCCTTCCCCTCCTCACTCACTCTCTCTCTCTTTCAAAAATAAATAAACATAATAAATAAATAAGTAAATAAAAGAAACCTGAGACCAAAAAGTTTGAGAGCTTCACATCTAGAATAACCCAATTTCCACTTAAGTATATTCACTTGTTTAATGATAATGGGGAAGGTGAACAAACAAATCATTTCAGGTTTCATTCTAAATATTATTGGGGGGTGGAATAATTTTTATTTCTAAAACAGATGCTCCTTTAGTCAGATTTATGCTTTTGGAACAAAACTTTCTTATAATTTTTGTTTTTGTTTTGTTGTGGTTTTGGTTTTTGTTTTTTAATTTGTAAATGTATAACTGATAGTCTAAATCTGAGAACATTCTTTTCTGAAAGTATAAAATTAAGTCTTTCCCTCAAGGCCCCATGATACCATGGAAAGCTGTAGTTGTTTCCCATTAAAAAGTAAAATAAGCAAAGCAATTTTTCAGGGTTTCTACTTTTTCTCAAGTTATTATTTTCATCTTATGATGTGCTAAATAAATTCTGAGGATAAATATCAAGGTTCTAATTATAGAGAGTGTCATTACTTCTTAAATTATTATAATAACATATAATTATTTTAGATTATAATGCAGGAGCAGAACAATACAATAATGAGTCAATCACATTTCTATGCATTTATGCAAGGCAAATTTTGCAAGCAAAACAGAAACTTCATTCACATTTCAGTCAATATAAATTCTAGAGTAATCATTTCTTACCTGTGGAAAAATAATACTTAAAACAGAAACTGAACCTGTATACTTAGATAATAAAAATAAAATAGCTAATTCATTCAATAAATATTGACTAGTACCTACTATGCCAGATTCTATCCTGTTGCTGTGTGTACGTAGGCAAATTACTTACCTCTTTGAGCCTTAGTTAGCCTCTCTGTGGAAAGTTTTTTTTTAAATCTATAAAATAGGGATAATAACAAAACCTACTTTATAGTTAATGTAAGTATTAAGTAAGATAATGCAAGTAAAAAGCCAAACTATAATATCAAGTGTGCTGTTAATATAACAAATGAAGAAATTCATAACTTTAAAAAATAGATGCTAAGTAAAATTAAATTTATTGTTTGAAAATAATCAGATTCAACTGCCATAAATGATCCTCTTTCCCGGAAAAATATGACCTAGAAGTGCTGTACTTTGTCTTATTTGCAACTTCTTAGAATTGGGGTACAGAGCCTGCAAATAAGAATTCAGACATAGACCTGGGATATGGGAGAGGTCAGGCTGCCTGTACACGTAGGTTAGTGCTGAACTAGATTCATAAGAGATCAGCTCATTCAACTATAGTTACCCTAAGGTTGACAATGCTCTCAGATCACTGCCTACTTGTAACCTAAGTGTTTCAAAATTTTGAAATGAACATTATTTTACTAGTTCTTCATTTTTAATGCTCATATCATAGTTTACATACACTCATATGTAACAAATAAGTGCAGCTATTTAAAAAAATTCTCTAAGTAGCATGGTCTAAAATATCTGCAAAATAAACTGTGTACTTCAGAGGGAGAGAAGCAGAGACACCCAGACATCTACCTTCTTGAAGGCTGCCAGGTCGTCCCCTCAGGACAGGCTGAGGCTGTCCCTCATGCCTCTGCCAGACATGGGAGAAAAACAAGATCTCAGCAACAACTGACCTTAAGGCAAAGACCACTCTGACTGGGCTGGCCACAGCTACCCAGGACCCTCCGTTAGCACCAAGGACTTGGTGAACTTCACTCCCTCAGCTCAGTGTTCCCTCTGTGGATCTCAGCATCTCCACTTGTACGACAGGCCTAGCAATGACTACCTGATGGGACTACTGTGAGGACTGGCTAGAAGGGTGTGAGAACACATCTAGACTCTGGCACATAGTAGGTTCTCAATAAAAGCTAGGTTTTTGTTAAAAACAGACAGACAAAAATTGTATGTTTCAGAATTCCACAGTTTACTAAACATTTATGTAGTGAAGAAATACTAATGTATTTGAATGTCTAGCATGAAAGTCAATCAGTTCTAGCTTAACTGTTTTCACCAAAAATTATAAAAATCTACTTATTAGTATATGTAAAATAGACTTTAAAATGTAAATCCAAAATATTGCCTACTATCATGTGTGATCTTACCAGTAAAGTCTAGAATTCGAATACATACCAATAAGTAGGCTTTTTCACTTACCGGAAGTAAAGTCCTTGAACTGTTGTATGTATTCCATGGCCCCATGAATCTGACCCTGTTTACATAGGCAAAGAAGAGCTTTCTTGTGCAGGCCACATTCAGTGTAGATCATCTGAGCTAAAGCCAGGCACTTGGCCTTGTTATAGGTATCCTGCTCCCCATAATCATAAATGACATCCCCAGCCTCCTCAGAAAATGTGAGCCTAGAGCAAGCAGATCAATAGGTATACTTTAGAGAGCTCATGGTGAGTGGATGAGAATAAAATATTTTAAAATTCAGCACAGAATTGGATTTTCCATGGTCTGTAAGAATTACAAGTTAATAGACAATTGATGTAGGAGAAATTAAACATATCCAAGATTTAACAAAAACAAAAATAATCACATATTCTTTTGTGGTGGGGGAGGGGGAGGAGACATTTTGGTGAAACTGACCTCAAGTTTTTTCAAAAATCTACAAACATGGTTAAAACTCTCCTAAAAAAGACTGGTGGAATTTAAAGTAACAAGGTAAATAAAAATTATTTTATAATTGAGGATCTCAATGTTCTCAGCAGTTATACAGATTTTAAACCCTGCAGAATGTAAGAATTCATTAAATGTTGGTTAAAGATAGTGACAACAAATTTTAGCTCAAAATTAGTGATAGATCTTGCAAGTGTTTGCAAGAAACGTGTGACATCAGTGTTATTTTCTAAATTGTTACAGAATTATAAAAAACAATAGGGGTAAAAAGGATTTAAGATGTCCCAATTTCCCTTGTCATCACATTTTAATGCACATCTTCAAACACAACTGGAGTGAACCATCTGCACATTAACTCCACCTAGAAACAATCAGCACAGGCCAAAACACATTTGGGTATAATTTAAGATATCACTTCCAATCACTGGTTGTACGGACATTGTGCTTTAGTTTTATTTTAAATTAATAGCTACAGAGTAACAGTAATCACATAATATTGATATCTGTACACATGTATCAAAATACCAGTAACATTCAAATAAAATCCTGAAATCCCTATAAAATGTGTTTAGTGAAAATTCAGTAAATAAAGCCTACCATGTTTATTGGGGCGGCCAAAGAGAAGTGTGTCTGAAATCAAAAGGCAGCTTCTGAGTATAAATCAATTATTTAATAAGCAATTTACCTAACTTTTACATTTTAGTACCAAAACATAGGTTTTGGTAGCTATAGCCACGATGTTTCCGAAGGCTGAACAAGGAATTATTTCAGACATTTTAGTGACTGTATAACCAGAGCAAGATGATAATACCAGTATTATAGTATTTCTTTCTCTTATTAATACCATTATTTTATTTTTGTAAGAGGTCATCACTAACATGATGTGGTTCCACCTGAGAAAAGGCCAGAGCTGAGGACTAAGGTTGATTTGTCCTGGTTTGTCATTTTCCAAAAGGATGATGTATGATTTAAAATACATATA